CTGCGGGAGGAAGACCGCGTTAGAGACGGTTCAGGGAATGTTTTAGCCGCTAGGGGCGGGGTGAAGCGGAGAATTATTCTGTGCATTGAACAGGGATATTACTGGAAGACATTTTCCCGTTTTCGTGTTCTTCTATCTCTCTCTATATCCGTCTCTGTCTCTGTCTCTCTCTTTGTCTGCCTGCCTGTCTGTCTCTGTCTCTGACACACACACACACACACACACACACACACACACACACACACACACACACACACATATATATATGTATATATATATATATATATATATATATATATATATAGAGAGAGAGAGAGAGAGAGAGAGAGAGAGAGAGAGAGAGAGAGAGAGAGAGAGAGAGAGAGAGACTTTTTCTCTCCTTCTTGTGTTAATAAATGAATGAATGAGTGTATACTTGAGTCATAATCAAATGGAACCAAACTTCTTCCTCTCCCAAATCCTGTAAAACAACAAGCATCTTATTTCCACAAACCTAAGCAAAAGGCAAAAATCCCCTTCTGGCTTTTAATCGCAGGTAAACATACACACTCACTTTATCATTATCTTAATTTACTATGATTCCCACCATCTTTAGCCTCTCTTTTTCCTCCTCCCTGCCTTCTATCCGGGACTCAAGCAACGGTAATTTGTTACTTTCTTCAAGTAGTTTATATGTTGCTTATGATATCTGTTGCTTTTGATAATAATTAGTGATGGTAATGATAATGATTATGATGACATATATTGCTGAGGGGTGGTAGTGGGGGTTGGGGGTAGGGGTGGGGGTAGGGGGTAGGGGGTGGGGGTAGGGGGTAGGGGGTGGGGGTAGTGATACTGATGGACACATTAATGTTTTTTTTGAGAATTTGAGAATCATTATCCCTTTTCATGGGTTTATTTTTCCTTGTAGATGTGTCGATTTTTTTTTAACTGTGAACGCGGTTTTGGTTATCTTAATCCACTATCTCTCTCTCTCTCTTTCTCTCTCTCTTTGTCTTTTTCTGTCTCTTTCTCTTTCTCATACTCATTCTTTTTCTCTTTTCTCTTTTCTCTTTCTCGTCCTTTCTCTCTCCCTCTCCTTCTCCCTCCACCTCTCCCTCTTCCTCTTCCTCTCCCTCTCCCTCTTCCTCTTCCTCTCCCTCTCTCTCTCCTTCTCTCTCTCTCTCCCCTCTCCCTCTCCGCTCTCCCTCTCCCCTCTCCCTCTTAACCCCTTCTTCACCTCTATCTCTCTTTCCCTCTCTCTCAATCTCACTTCCTCTCCTTCCTCTCTTCCCCCTGTTTCTTTCTCCTCCCCCCCCCTCCCCACCTCCATCAACCATCGTGCCCCTAGGCAGTTGCCTTGACCCCATGTTTTTTTTTTCTTTTTCTTTCTCTCTCTCTCTCTCCTTTTTTTTCTTTTTTGAGGGTTCCGTATATAAATCGTGTCTTGATTCCCTCAATGGATTTCCTTCATGTATTAACTTTCAGGTTTTCGTAAGAACTCGTTTTCTTGTTTCACAATGTTAGTTTTTTTTCCCGTTTTTTTTTTCGTTTTTTTTTTTTTTTTTGTAATCGTGGTAGTTTTAGATTTTTTTCTGGAAAAATATTTAGGATTTCATTGAGATTTCTGAAATTATCAGGTCTATGTTTCACAGTGTGTTTTTTTTTCGTCTCTTTTTTTTTTAAGAAAGTCAATGCCATACCGAAATATACATTAAAATATATGTATATTAAGTCTTCATTCTTTGGAGATCTGAAATCGACGAGAGAGAGAGAAAGAGAGAGAGAAAGAGAGAGAGAGAGAGAGAGAGAGAGAGAGAGAGAGAGAGAGAGAGAGAGAGAGAGAGAGAGAGAGAGAGAGAGAGAGAGAGAGAGAGAGACCCAGACAGAGGATTGATAATTAATGAGATGAATGCAAGCATACATAGAAATACAGATGATGATAATTATAATAATGACCATAATAACAATGATAATAATAATAATAATAATAATAATAATAATAATAACAATAACAATAACAAAAATAATAACAACAATAACAATGATAAGAAGATATACTGCACTTTCCGTCTTTTTGACCCCCCCCCACACACACACCCACCCACACCCTCCCCCACCCATACCCACACCCACCCACACCCACACCCACCCACTGCGATAATGTCCGTAGCACCAGGAAGACTAAAGCAGATGCCATTCCAGAAGTGGTATTAAACTATGAGCTTTGCCAGGTGTTGTGGTGGAGGTTCCCGGGGGAGGGGGGAGGGGGAGGGACGGGGATGAGGGAGGGAAGAGGGGGAGAGGGAGGGGAGAGGGTGGATGGGAGAGGGGAGAGGGTGGATGGGGATGAGGGAGGGGAGAGGGTGGATGGGAGAGGGGAGAGGGGGAGGGGGATGAGGGAGGGAAGAGGGGGAGGGGAGAGGGGGAGGAGGGATGGGGGAGGAGGGAGGGGAGAGGGTGGATGGGAGAGGGGAGAGGGGGAGGAGGGATGGGGGAGGAGGGATGGGGGATGAGGGATGGGGGATGAGGGAGGGGAGAGGGCGGATGGGGAAGGGGGGATGGGGGATGAAGGAGGTGGAGGGGAGGGGACGGTTAATTGGAAAGGGGGGGGCCATCCTCAACCCCCCACCCCACCTCCCGCGTCTATTATTTTCGTTCTTCTCTTTGTTTCCCTTTTCCCTCCTTCGGGTTGGTCTTATGAAACGAGGGAGGATGAAGGAAGGTGTTAAAACTCCTTTGCCCTTCTTTCTATTTTTTTCTCTCCCTTTTTCCCTCCCTTCTATCTTCTTTATTTCACCCTCCCCCTTTTTCCTCTCATCCTTCTTCCCTATTCCCTCGCTCTTTCCGTATCCCCCCCCCTCTTTCTCCATTCCTTCTCCCTTCCCCCATTCCTCCCCCATCTTCCTCATTTCGCTTACCCTTGCCTCATTCCTTCTCCTTCCCCATTCCCTTTTCTTTTATGTCTTTCCCTTTCCTTTCCCATTCCCTTCCTCATTCCCTTCCCCTTTGCTTCTTTCCCTCTCCTTCCCCATTCCCTTCCCCTTACCTCATTAACTCCCCTTGCCTCATTCCCTTTTCTTTTACCTCTTTCCCTCTCCTTCCCCATTCCCTTCCTTTACCTCATTCCTTTACCCTTCCCGTTCCTCCTCCCCTTCACCTCTTTTCCTCCCCTTCCCCATTCCCTTTCGATGCCCAGACATGCAAAGAACATTACAAGTCAAGGGCAATGAAAATAACAGTTTAAGAGGACTTAAGGGGAGGGGGAGATGAGGAGGGGAGGGAGGGAGGTGAGGAGGGGGAGGGAGGTGAAGAGGGGGAGGCAGGGAGGGAGGTGAGGAGGGGACGGGGGGAGGCAGGGAGGGAGGTGAGGAGGGGAAGAGAGGGACAGAAATGAGGAGGGAGGTGAGGAGAGGAAGAGAGGGACAGAAATGAGGAGAAAGGTAAGGAGGGGAGAGAGGGAGAGAGGTGAGGAAGTAAGGTAGGGAGGGAAGAGAGATGAGGAGGGAAGTGTGGGAAGGAGGGAGGGAGTTAAGGGGGGGGGGGGAGTAAAAGATTAAAGACTCACTGTTGCAGGAGGTCGTATTTCAACCCAAAATGACTACTTCTGGTATGGTGTGAGTGAATGAAAGATGGGGGAAGAAGGGGGTCAGAGATGATGGAAAGAGAAGGGAGAAAAAAGATAATGGGAACAGAAGAGGAGATAAAGATGATGAATAAGAGAGACTGGAAAAGAGAAAATGAAGATGAAGGAAGGAGAAGGAGGACTAGAATAGAGAAAAGGGAGAATAGATGATGGAAGGAGAAGTGACAAAAGAAGATGGAATAAGTGAAAAAAATGGAAAGTAAATGGGAATAACATGTTAAAAAGGAGAGAAGAGCAACACAAAGAGAAAGAGGAGACAAAAATAGAGATGAAAAAGAAAGGAAAAGGAAAGAAGAAAAATATAGAAAATATGAAGAAACAAACTAAAAAAGGATGAAAAAAGAGAAAGAAGGTAAGAAAGGAAAAGAACGAAAGATAAAAAAGGAGAGATGAACATAAAACAAAGACAAAAAACGCGAGAATTAAAACGCAGGGGTAAACAACACGCAAGGAGCTATTTTCGCATACTTGTTGTTACATTCATGCCCTGTTCGCCTCCACTAAACTCATGCGACGTCAGAAAGCACAGACAGAATGCGCTGGAAGTTCTGGGTGTTTGAGTCAAGGGAGCAGGAAGTGTTGCGTTTTTATGCGCGGGAAAGACCGCCTTTTTTCCGCCCTGGTTTGAGGAGCTTCGGCTGCTGGAAACGACTTTTATTTCCGGGTTGCGTATTCGCGTATCGTCTATGTATTTTGAAAGTTGGAGTGGAAGTATAGTTTATTGTATAGATTATAGGGTATATTATATGAATAGACATTGTATGGAGGCCTATGTTGTATTCTTTTTGTCACTTTGGTTTAAATTTGCAGCTCTACGTATCAAATGTACAACCTGGAAACAAGAGGGAAAAAAAATCAACCTCCCTAATATACTATCTTAAAAAAAAAAATCCATAAATAAAATCAAAAGATCGCAGAAAATGAAATAAAAAAAAAAACTCAAAATCTTTCAACTCTTCAGTACTTAAGAAACATCTACTTCCGCTCCTTGATAATTTCGCGATGATTAAGGAGACGCTAAGGTCACTTAGACTACGACATCGCATTAACTTCCTAATTGGAGTAATGACACCCACGTAATACCTGGTTACTCCTCAATCATTACACTTCATGGCCTGCCTGGTGATGAATACTCTGCTTTATTCCTCGTATTAGTGTGCAATCTAAGAGTTCCTGGGTGTGATCATGACACGTGGGTGTTGGCGGTACGTGGTCGTTTGTGGTCGTCTAGGATAGGGAGAGGGGGGAGGGAGAGTGGGAGGGGGGAGGGGGAAGGGGGGTTACGTTACACGACCTTTCGCGTTGGCCGGGGGTCCTCGGATAGGGAAGTGAGACCGATTTTTAAAAGGTTGAAGCAATTGAGAGGGATGTTTTG